CAACCATGACGACGATAAAAGCTATATATATAGTATTCAAGAGCAATCTCATTTAAATCTAAATTTTAAAAATATAGCACAACAAACTAGACGCGATCCAATTCTTTCAAAAGTATCTGATGCTGTTTTAAATGGAACAATTAACAATTTAAAAGGAAATCAGTTTACGTCATTTACTACCAAGAGTATCGAATTAACAGTTGATCGTGGATGTCTACTTTGGGGGTATAGAATTGTTATTCCTCAAAAACTTAGAGTGTTTTACACAAATTACATGAATCTCATTTAGGAACTGTCAAAACCAAATCTATAGCTAGATCTTATGTCTGGTGGCCAAATATAGATGTTGATGTAGAAAATTTGATCAAAACTTGCATTCCATGTCAAGAACTTTTAGCAAGCCCAGAAAAGAGCACTTTAATACCGTGAACTCCAACTGATACTGTATGGAGCAGAGTTCATATAGACTTTGCAGGTCCTATTAAAGGTTTTTATTTATTTGTAATAATTGATTCTTTTTCTAAATGGGTTGAAGTATATCAAACCAGAAACATTTCTTCAAATTTTGTAATATCAAAATTAAGAGAATTATTTTGTCGTTTTGGAATTGTAAATACAATTGTGAGTGATAATGGTAGACAATTCACTTCAGAAGAATTTAAAGTTTTCACCACAAAGAACAATATAAAACATATTTTGACCGCACCTGGTCATCCTTCAACCAATGGACAGGTTGAAAATTTTATAAAAACACTAAAAAAATCTTTATATGCAAATTTGCGTAATCAAAATGAAGCAAATTTTGAAATTGTTTTAAATAGATTTCTTATGGATTACCGAAACACCACACACTGCTCTACTAAAGAGTCTCCAGCTAAGATTTTCCTAGATAGAAGGATTAGAAATAGATTCGACTTCATGAGACCTCCATTAACTAAAGATGAAATAATATGTAATCAAGAAAGAAGCATTAATAATTATAAGGGTAAACGAAATGTTGATTTTGATATACGTCAGAATGTGTATGTCCGTGACTATATAAACCCTAACAGATCAAGCTGGTCTCCAGCAAATGTTAAAAAAAAAATTGGTCCAAGATCTTTCTTTTGTACACTTTCACACAATGGGAGGGAAATAAAGAGGCATACTGACCAAATACGAGCAGGTGCTACTAAAAAATTAGAACAAAATAATAATATCAAATGCCACACTGAGTCTAATATTCTGGACAACAATCCTTCAGTCACTGAGAATATCATGGAAACTTACACACCACTTGAAAATTCAGTAAGTAATAATAATGAAAATATTTTGATTGATAATAATGTACGTAACTTAAGACCACGTAAGAATGGTAAAGTAACTAAAGAATAACAAATTTAATTTAATAAGATATTTTGAATTACATTATGACATATTGTGAATTATTTATATTTTTGAAGTTACTTGAATTATTTATTTTGATTTATTGAATTTATTCTAATTTTAGTTTAATTGTAATTATAAGAAATGTTTCATTTATAAAGTTATAATTTCAAAAATTATTTATTTAATGTTAAATATAATATAAATAATTAGCTCATTTAGGAGGAGCATGTTATATATATAATTAATATATATGTTTATAACAATTTAAGTTACAGTGTATACTCAAAAATGTTTAGTTCGTAAGCTTTTGATAATGATAATAAAAGTTAGTCTGTAATACAATTCAAAAGCGTGCACTTCATTTGGTGAAGACACCACAATAATACAAAATTATTCAAAAGAGAATAAATATATATAATATAAACATTTTAAACAAATAATACGAAATCAAGCTATATCGATTATATTATATGAATACTACATATTTAAATATTTCATATTTATAGTATTATACTTCATATAGAGAATAAAAATTAAATTACAATTTGTCAAATTTTAAAAAAGTTATGATATATATATATATAATTGTGACCGAAAAGTTTCCGGAAATAAATAAATAAAACGCAAAATTCTTAATCTTCATCAATATTTATTTTATCTCCCTTCAAAATATGCATCATTGGAAGCAAATAACAACGCAAAGTTCTGCCCAATCACTCAAACATTTGTTTATAGGCGCTTTCCGGTATGGCTTTGAGTTCCCTCTGCGAATTCTGTTTTACGTCTTCTATGGATTCAAAACGCGTTCCTCTGAGTGGTAATTTGAGGTTGGGAAACAGGAAAAAGTCACACGGTGCAAGATCAGGTGAATACGGTGGCTGTTCGATGGTATTTATTGAATGTTTGGCCTTAAAATCGTTGATAATGTTGAACAAATTGAGGTGAATCGGAACAAGCCGGGCGTTGACACGTCGCATACACAAATTGTCCACCAAAATCAAACGAGCCATCTCACGACCGATGCCTAGCTCTCGTGCTATCTCTCTAACACTCACATGAGGATTTTTGAACACGATTTCCTTTGCCTTTTCAATGTTTTCGTCGGTGGTAGAGGTCGAAGGTCGTCCAGAACGCGGCATGTCTTCGACGGTCGTACGACAGTCCTGAAAGGCTTTGTACCACTCATAAACTTGAGTTTTCGATAAAACTGATTCCCCATAAGCCTTTTGTAGCATTCGCAACGATTCTGCACACGAAATTTCGTTCGAAAAACAAAATTTGATGCAAACTCTTTGTTCAATATTTTTTTCCATTGTTTTTTTCGCAACGCACTACTGAGGTGAACTGGTTTCAACAGCTGCCGTAAACGAACTGTCTGACAGATCGCGCTCATTTTTGGCATAGTAATTAAGGACAGTGCTGCCAAACTACATAAACTTAAAATATCGAAAAATATAAAGCGCGCGAATTTTAAATGAGAATTTCCGAAAGCTTTTCGGTCACAATATGAATAAATTTGAAATAACTGCAATTAGTATATTACCACTTATGATCATGGTCAAATATTTAAAAAAAAAAAAAAAAATTTTTTTTTTTTCAAAAACAAAATAAACAAAAAAAAATTTTTTTTCTTAAAGGGTGAGGGTGTAGTGGCAAATTAACCATGACAATACGTTGTGTGCGGTATTTAATGTGTCACACTAACCCGAAACACTCAAATATCAAGCATGACCGAAAAACCCTAATTGCCAAATATGAAATAATTTATGAGTCAGAAATTTGACTCGTCTATTTTGTCATTTCTTTATGACAAAATATTTGTATGCATATTTAATTGTTCCAATATGCATTTGACAATTTGGATTGCGGCATGCTCAGCACATGAATTTGTGTTAATTGTTTCACAGATCATATTGCAAGCGATAATGCATGCAATATGATTTGCCCTCAATACAGTTGGTTACCAGATGTGTGCCACTGTTGAAATAGAAGACCATTTAAATAATAAATATATATAAGTTATTTTTATAAAAACATTATATACGTCTAATTTGGGTTAACCAATTTACTTTTGTCTAATTCAAATATCAACCAATAGAATCATTACATAAGATTCTATTGAAAAGTAGTTGTAAGAAACGATGTTAGTTTTAAGAAAGAAATTAAAATAAAAATCAGTCTTAATATGACGAGCAATACGTAAAGTTGTTTTTAATTCGTGAACATAATAAACGAATTATATAAAAAATATCATATAACCATATATCTCCACATCGACAAGCTTTTATTAGTTTGTGTGATTTTCAGAGGCAACGTATTTGTTCAATAATGAACATGTTATTTTAGGACATACAATCCTAAAACTATTAAAATTAAAAATTGTATCTTTTTTCAAACGCTGGCAGGATGTGCCTAAATTTATAGTTATTTTTATGTCTGTTATCGTTTAAATTCTTAGAATTATATAAGAAGGAAAAAACACGGGTAATAAAAAAATCCCAAAACTAAAGACATTGTAGAATATTAAACACATTTTAAAATACATGGCACCGTATCGATAATAAAAATATAATTGTAAAATAATAAAAATCCTACGTGCCAGAATTTTATTGTATCCTTTTTGTTATGAACCTTTGCGACAGCAATAAAATGCAACTAAAATAATACAGTCCACTAAAATAAATGATAACAGGCAACAAATTATTTCAACCCTTATTTGTAAATGTAGTTAAGTTATGTTAAGACAATTTTGTATAAATAGAGAATAATTTTCAAAATAAAATCAGTATTCAATTCGATACTCTAGCGAAAGCATTTCTCTTTCATTTCAAAAATTAATCATTTGGTCCTTCGAGCCTAGGAAATTGGCTAAGGAAAATTTTTTAAATTTTGAAATATAAAAGTCATAGTGATCCCCCACCAGAGGTAAGACACTTGACTTTGTTAGAGCCTTACAAACTCTAACTCAAAATTTTTCAGAGCCTTCGTCAAGAACAAAAATATTAGTTAAAAGTGATCGAGGCAAGACACTTGACTAAAAATTCAAAAGTATTAAGGCTGTTCAAGAACGCCATTAAAACCAAAGAGCTGATCCTAACAGCTTATATAATAAAATAAAATAAAAAAAGGAATTTAGGGAAATTCATCAAGGTTAGAATACAGGGCGTTTTTTAACTGTCGTCAGCAAATAGACATAAACATTTACTTTATTTTTTAGATGACAAAAAATAGAAAAAATCCATCAATACGAAACAATATCAAAAACGTGTCAGAAGAACACAAAACAATTGAAGAATATATACCCAAGCAAAAGCAGCCAGGTTCCTACCCTACTTACACACCAAGTGTAATAGCAAATCAAGGTCCAAAGAAGTTAACTATTGAAGAATATAAAAAGCGGCAAAGACCAATAAGACCACCAAGTCCAAAACCCGAGATAAAGAAGAAAAGAAAAAGAGCTGGAAAGCAGTTTCAAAGAAGGAAGGCGTTTGCACTATTATACCAAGAATTGCATCTGCAAACAAATAAAGAAGATAAAATAAAAATTAAAAGAGAAATTAAAAAATTACGAAGAGAAAAAATATAATAATAAAAATTTAAACTAAAAAATATCTTTCCTTTAAAAAAAAAAAATGGGTCTATTAACTAATACACAGAGCGAATTAATCAAAGACCAATATAATTTGATCAAAAAACTAGAAGAACTATTTAAACAGGCAGAAGGAATAGTAACAAGGAGTAAAAAAAATGAAGTACTAGAATTACTAGAAGAAATATGGAAAACATTCTCGGAGAATGATAAAAAATTATATAAGTTAGGTATAGAAGATATACCATATTTCAACGAAGGGGTAGGAAAAGATATGTTAGAAAAATATACTAAAGCAAAAAAATTACTTTCAAATACAGAAGAATCAGAGATAGACAATCCAGAAGATTCAGTAATAACCACACAAGAATTCAAAATAACGAGAGAAGAAGCAGGAAAAGACAAGGAAATGGCTAGAGATAAACTAGAAAATTTGATGAAAAGACTAAAAGGACTAGAAGAAATGATTAAAGAATTTAGAACAGAAGCAATGAAACGAAGTGTGCTAATTCGAATAATAGAAGGAAATTATGAAAAAATACAACAAATATTGGCAATATTAGACAAAGACCAATTAAGTAATATTAATGAAAGGTATGAGATGATATTGGAACAGGCTAAAGTATTTTTGGATTGCAAAGATGAATTTAATCATACTAAAAATCAAGTTAAGATTGAAAAAGAAGTCATAACACCAATTACACAATTACACGATTTCGACGGAAGAGATGAAGATTGGCAAACTTTCGTAGAATTATTTAAAGATTACGTACATAATAATCGAAATTTATCATCCTCAATGAAACTTGACTATTTAAGATCTCATATTAAAGGGGATGCGCGTATGACTATTAGTCATCTATTATCTGGAACATCAGCAAACTATGAAGCGGCGTGGGATACGTTAATAAGAAGATATGAAAACAAAAGATTAATTTTTACAAGAAATTTTGACAAATTACTTGACATGAAAACAATTACCTCATCATCAGTTTTGAGTTTAAGAGACGCTCATGATCAAATTAAACAATGCATTCAACTAATTGAATCTAAACAGGCAGAACCTAACTGTGACAAATTATACGCGCACATAATAATAAGAAAATTGGATAAAGAAGGTATTCAATTATATGAACAATACATTAAAAAACCAAGAGAAATAAACACACTAAAAGATGTATTTGAATTTCTGGAACAACAATTCCAAACTCTGGAAGCCCAAAATAGCCTTAAAACATCAAGAATAAACTATATTAATCCAGCAACTGACATAAGAATTCAGAACAATACTATCCAATGCCAATGTTGTAATCAATTAGGTCATCGGATGTATAATTGCAAACGATTTATGGACATGTCGATTGGACAACGAACATCATTAATCCGCAATAAACAACTATGCGAGATATGTTTGAGTCATAATAATCGCATTAAATGCAACTCTACACACAAATGCAAAAAGTGTAATAAAGCTCACAATTCTCTTTTACACATGGAATACAATTTAAATCAACGTCAGCAAAACAGCAGAAACAACCCAAAAATTAATAAAGAAGGAAAAACTTATTCAACAATAATAAAAGATAAGAAACAATTAACCTTACTTCCAACTGTATTAATCAGCACAAAATCATCAGATGGAAATATTCATCAATTGAGAGCCTTGGTAGATCAAGGTTCGCAAGTATCAATGGTGTCTGAGAAGGTAGTTCAATTATTGATATTAAAAAAAATGAAACACATGACCAAATTGTCAGGGGTATCTAACACAACGGTTGGTACATCAAACGCTAGAGTCTTTATGGAAATATCATCAAGGTTTGGCATCAAAAAGAAGATAAAAGGGGAATTTTTAGTAATGTCACATCTAGTAAGATCATTGCCAGAAGAAACAATAGAAATAGAAACCAAAATTTGGGACAATTATAAACTAGCGGATCCTGAATTTAATAAGAATGGTTGTATTGATATGATAATAGGAAGTGACCTTTATCCAAAAATAATTAAAGAAGGCATCAAAAAATACAATAACCTAATAGGCCAAGAAACCATATTTGGGTGGATGATTTCTGGTCAAATATTAGCAGATGCAGCTAGTAATGATGTTATATCAACTTTAAACTTAGAAAGATTTTGGGAAATAGAAGAAATAGAAAATGAAAAGGAAAAACCTAATTCCGACGACGAATTGTGCCTAGATCTATATAAAACAACTACAATAAAAGACACTGATGGAAGATATATTGTTCAAATCCCCTTTAAAGAAGACTTGTCATTAGGTAACTCAAGGAAGCAAGCAGTAGCCAGATTATTGAGCTTGGAGAAAAATATTAATAAAAAATTAAAAAAGGAGTACGCTGAATTTATGAGAGAATATGAACAATTAGGTCATATGGTAAAAACTAAAGACCAAAATAAAGGATTATATTACATGCCACATCAAGCAGTAATCAGAGAGAAAAGTTTAACGACGAAATTACGAGTAGTATTTGATGCGTCCGCCAAAACATCTAATGGAAAAAGTCTTAATAACATAATGATGACAGGTCCACGATTGCAAAAAGATATTTTTGATATTATATTAAAATGGAGGTTATGGAGATTCGTAGTAACAGCAGATGTAGAAAAGATGTTTAGACAAATAAAAATAACGAAAGAACATCAAGATTATCAGCGAATTCTCTGGAGAGAGAATCAAACAGATAAAATAGAAGAGTTTAAACTAACTACAGTCACATATGGAACAGCTTCAGCTGCATTTTTAGCAGTCCGAACACTACAGCAAATTGCAGGAGATTATGAAGGAAATGTTAATATTAAAAATACGATTAAAAATGATTTTTACATGGACGATTTACTAACTGGTGCCGATACAACGTCAGATTGTAAAGATAAAATTAATAAAATTTTTAATTGTTTAAACAGTGCAGGCTTTAAATTACGGAAATGGATGTCTAATAATCAGTCAATTTTGGAAAATGTACCCATTGAAGTCAGCAATAAAATACTTAACATAAAAGAAGACGATTCAATAAAAACACTAGGATTAAAATGGAATCCAAGAGAAGATGAATTTCAATTCTCAATAAACATTTTAACAAATGATAGAATAACAAAAAGAATGGTGTTATCAGTAAACGCAAAGATTTTTGATCCATTAGGATGGCTGACTCCAGTTACAATTACTGCAAAATTATTTATACAAAAACTGTGGCAACTAAAGTATGACTGGGATGAAATTCTAGATGAACAAGTTCATAAAGAATACGAGAAAAATAATAAAAATATACAAATAATTGAACAAACTCGGATTCCAAGATGGATGGAAGTATCAAGTTTGGACAATTGGGAACTTCACGGGTTTTCAGATGCTTCTGAAGCAGCCTATGCAGCAGCAATATATATTAAAATAGGTTCAAAAATAAACTTATTGACAGCTAAAAGCAAAGTAGCCCCAATAAAAAATAAAAAAACTATTCCCAAATTAGAATTATGCGGAGCTCATTTACTAGCAAAATTAATGAATAAAATAATTAAAATATTAGGCAATAATCCAGAGGTCTATTGTTGGAGCGATTCTGCGATTACTTTATGGTGGATAAAAGAACCAAGAAACAAAGAAAGATTCATAAGAACACGAGCGACAGAAATTAAAATTTTAATTCCGAGTGCAGAATGGCGTCACATAAGAACAAAAGAAAATCCTGCCGATATAGCATCAAGAGGCATATGTGCATCCAAATTAATAAATAATACTCTCTGGTGGCATGGACCGACATGGCTAGCAAATCCTAAAGAGGAATGGCCAAAAGATGACCAAATAGATGGTTCTGCAGTCATCATAACAACATTAAGTTCAGATAATAATTTTATAAACGACTTGATACAGAAAATATCAAAAATATCTAGACTAGAAAAAATAGTAGCATATGTATTAAGATTTATAAAATGCCTAAAAAATAAATCCAAAGACACAAATCATATATCAAAAGAAGAACTTGATACAGCAAGAAATGAGATAATTCGACAACATCAATTAACGCATTTTGCCGCTGAAATATCCAGCATTAATCAAGGCAAAGAAATTAACAGGATTAGCAAACTAATTCATTTACGACCATTTATAGATAAAAATGGCTTATTAAGAGTTGGAGGCAGGCTACAAAACGCAACTATTAAATATAACCAAATGCATCCAACTATTCTACATAGAGATCAATATGCAGAATTAATAATATATCAAGCGCATCAATCAACATTACACGGAGGACAAAATTTAATGGAAGCACACATAAAGCAACAATATTGGATTTTAGGAGTAAGAAAAGGTATAAAAAAAATATGCAACAATTGCACAAAATGCATTAGATACAGCCAAAACTTTGGAAAACAAATAATGGGATATATGCCAAGCCACAGAATAAATGTATCCCATCCTTTCGAACACACAGGGATTGACTATGCCGGACCCATATATATGAAGTGC